CCCCCGCGTGTACGTGAACTGCTCGCGCGGGGAGGGAGAGGGGAGCGGGTGTCGCGCCCCAAAGGGACGACACGCGGTCCAACAGCCTTCATAACGAGGGAGGGAGGGAGCCAGGGAGGGAGGGAGCCAGGGAGGGAGGGAGCCAGGGAGACAGGGTAATCATATGCCTCGAAATTGCAATTTTGCCTCTTTTGAGAAAACTCCCTTTCCTTCCCAAATTTTTCGAAAAACGCGATTCTAAGTGAACATTACCGGTGGGCTATTGTTGCACAACGGCAATGCCAGTATCGTACCAAGGGCGAATGTCACGCCTCACGCTCTTCATAATATTTTGGCTACTTCTGTGCCATGCTCGCATTCCGAAATCCACCATCGCGACGGGAAAATTCCCGCGGTATCACGATCGGCAGACGAAATGGTCACGCGCTTCCAGAGATTGTTTCCGATGCTCCGATGCGATCGGGCCTGTCACGCTGACGCGTGTGACAGTAACGCATTCCATTGCGGCCCTGACTTGTGGCGATGACATTTCGTCCTGTGACCCCCCAGCCGACCGGGGGTCGAGCTGTCCTGCGTATCGCTCGTTTCCACTCCAGCTGTTCTGTTTTCCTTTCCCAACCGGTTTGGACGTCGAGTACAGGGACCCGGCCCGGCGCGGGAGAGAGAGGTGAGCCGCCACCTCGATGCATATCCTGTTTGGCGTAGAGAGAGATGCTGCCGCTACCTCCTCAAATGTGGGCTACGAATGCAGAGTGGCCAATCCTCCCCCTCCCGCTACCTTTCCCCAGCGTCCTCGTTTCCAGCCGCCCGCCCGTGTTTTTGCCCCGTCCGTCCAGCAGCCCGGTCGGCCCGGCCCGTCGTGGAGGCCTTTAGTGCCTGTTAAATTGATGATTATGTTCCCTGCCACCGAAGTGCTGATCAGGTGGTGAGAAAAGGGGAGAGGTAGAGGGGGGGGGGTGGACGCGGAGATGGTATCCATCGTCTTTTATTACGGGTCATTTACACCCAAACAGAGCAGCTGCCAAGTCATTGCGACCCATCAGCGAGAGGTAATGCCCAGGCCCCGAGCAGACCGCAGGGCAGTGGATGGGGCGGGGGCCCCGGCCCGGGCGGGGGGTGCCACCTACGGCAGGCACAAAATGATACGAAACAGTCACGCCGACAGAAAGAAGCGGCGGCCAGAGCTAATAATGACGATCTAAAATGAAGCCGGAGGAACCGTGCGCCGAGCGCGCGTGTTCGTGTTGTTGTTTGGACCCTTTCAACGCAGCAATTAAAATAATCTTCAGAACAGAACGGTGGAAAAGAAAGGCGAGGTGGGCGAAAAAAAAAAGACAACAAAAAAAAAAATACAAGGGGAAGGCCGAGCGGTTTAAAGCCCGCGCCGACACTGGTCGACGCTGTGCGCCACGCCGCTTTTGTTGTCCATCTCTCTGATCGACTGCTCGGCGGGGCACACCGGGCTTTTGACGGCCTCAAATTGAAAAAGAAAACACAAGAAGAGCGTGTGCGTTGAGAGATGTTTTGGTGACGCTCCGAGATCACTCGTCTGATGGGGCCAGTTTAGGTTGTTTCCCATTCTTAAGGGTTTGTCCAGAATGTCGACCAGTCCGTTCTTGTCAGATTCGTTTGGAAGATTGCGGGTGCTCGGCGCCTGCGACAGTCCGGGTAGGCCACACCGCAGTGCACGCGTGTAATGCCGGCCAGATGTTGCCTACCTACCAGGCGCTATCAGAACTTGCAGAGGCGAACCGTGATATGTAGTGTGTAGGTAAATTTGCTGAACAAAATAGAAGCCCCCCCCCTACCCGCTCAATCATCACGCTCGATGCACATCCTGTTGG